CCAGGGAAGCGGCCAGGGCCAGGGAAGCGGCCAGGGTCAGGGCCAAGGACAGGGTCAGGGCCATGGAAGCGGTCAGGGCCAGGGTCAAGGCCAGGGTCAAGGTCAGGGCCAGGGTGGCGGGCAGGGCCAGGGAAGCGGCTATGGCCAGGGAAGTGGTCAAGGGAGCGGTCGGGGATGTGGTTATTGAAATGGTCATGGGAATTTTGCATTACACTTACTGGAGATCTTTTCAATTCAGTGCTTTATTCATATGGCATGTTTTCCCTGTTTGCTCAAACAGTTTAGAAAATTCTTTCCCCCTCACCTCCTCAAATAAAAATAATTGCTTGATTAAGTAGTTGGTGTTTTTGGTATCATTTTGGCAGTTTTTTTTCCACATAACTGCTTTCTGGCGTCAGTGCTTTAAGTTCCTCTCCCTGAGACCTGGGGGTTGTTTCATAAAACTAGTTTACCAAATAAGCCAGGCTTATTTCAGTTATTCTGACTTGTCACTTGATTTGGTTTCATAAAGCAAACTTACCATAGCTCAAGCTCAGTAGCAAACTTACCATAGCTCAGTCACTCTGGCAACTTATGCTGGGAAACTAACCTGGTCCGGAGCAGGCTAATGCCGTGTTCACACTGCACGACTATCTGAGGTAGCGGTCAGTCGCTGCTGTGTTCACATTGCACGATGGATCGGCGACCGGAGGTTACACACTGCGTGACTTTACAATAGGAAGAATCGCCGACAACTGTCTTTTCCGCAAACTATGTTTCACAACAAAACACACGCAAGAAGTGATAAGGAAATAACGAGAGAACCCTCGTGCGTCAGACCGGAGTTCTCCAGCAAGACTGGACTTATTAAAAAAATTATATAGCCCGCAAATTGTGTGTGATTTCCAGCTACAAGGAGAAAAAGAAAAACCGATTATGCAGGAGGGAGATGCAGGGAACAGGGATTAGGTGTTCTGCAAAGGGAGTTGGAGGTAAATAATTTTGCAGTAACTGTTATGCTGATGTTGTGGCTGGTCAAGCAAATGTTTGTGCTGGTTTCTGTATGATATTGTTCATATATCTATTAAAATGCTGATATTCTGGTCTATAACTCCTTCCCGAACTTCCCTCTGCCCTGTGTCTTGGTCTCTCATTGGCTATAGGTCATCGCCGATGTAGTTTTCAGTCAGAAATCATTGCACACAGCGTGATTGCGAATCGCTGACAGCTCCAGATATTTAGCATGCCAAATATTTTGCGGGTGTCGGCGATTCCCTCAGATCGCTTCTTTGATAATTCACACTGCGTGATTGTCACTCGCGTGAACGAGCACCAATTTGCC